AACCTCAATAGGGTGTTGAGAGGGTTAAATGAGATGAGTTACCTAATGCAAATTAGCACAGAGCCTAGTATCTGGTAAATTTTAGCTCAATCGAAGTGATGTTTTTTTCCTCTATCAAATGCTAAGTTGTCTTTTTTACATTTCAGTCCTAGTTAGTAGCTTTTATAGGATGCAGTAAAAAAACACTTCTATCTTTTGTATTTACAGACCACTGTCCTATGAGACAGTAGAAAAAGCAATGGCCCAGATAAGTGAAGTCATAGTTTATTTCTCTCAATCCCAAGGTATGTAAATTTGGGGAAATCATACCTGAAATCTAGATGTACCTATTCCTTCAAAGGATTTAAAATCAAATGAGATCACATATGTGAAGTGACTCCGAAATTCCTAAAGGACTATATAAATATCGGAGTAGTCTGTGATGAAAAGACTAGATAGATGACAAATCCTGCCTGCCACTTTTAGTGAGTGGGATCAAAATTGTGCTATGGAATGCTGACCCATGCAGTTATTTCATTCACTTACTGGGTGCTCTATTCAATCAAGGCCCTCCCATAAAGAAAGAACCATTCTAGAATAATAAGCTGCTTGCTTCTGCCAAAGATATACAAAATACTCTATCTCAGGATACAGCATCCCACCCATTTACTAAACGATGGCCAGTGTGTACTTATAAAGTTCTGGTCACTGAAACATAGGGGCAGAAAAAGTCTAGGTGGGCTTTTGTGAAAGGTGAATGGGTACAGTGGTGGATGGGATCAAGTGGATACATTGCCAAATTTAATCCCACAGCAACCCTATAAAGTAGATATTAAAATTGTTTTAAAGGAGGAAACAGAGGCTCAGAAAAAAGCTTATCCAAAGTCACTCAGAAAGTAGTTGAGGCTAAGATTTAAACTTCACATTCTTTTAACATCCTAGTACCTACCCTGAAGTAGGTTCTGAAGTGATCACTGGCATAAAGGCATTTAAGAATGTTCACAGTAGCATAGTTTATAATAGCAATGAACCAATAAGTAAAATTTAAACAATTAAAATTTTAAAAGAAAAAATAAAATTCAACAGTTCCTCAGCAAGAGAAATAAACCATTGAATATTCAACTGATATAACTAAATAGCAGTAAAAATAGTGTCCAGGTCAATATGGATGAGTCCCATAATGCACACCCAAAAAAACAAGTTGCAATACAAGTCCTTTTAAAGTTCAAAACCATGTAAAAATTCAAAATAGTACTGGAAGTCTTTGCTAATGCGGTTAGACAAGAAAAGGAAATAAATTACACATTGGAAAGGAAGAAATAAAACTTTGTTCAGATGACGTGATCATCTATGTAAAAAAAAATCCTAAAAATTGACTAACTCCTGAAACTAATAAGCAATTATATCAAGGTTGCAGCATACAAGGTTAATATACAAAAGTCAACTGCTTTCCTACATGCCAATAATTAAAGGGTGAAATACTGTTCAGATGTTAGACTAAGTAGCTCAAACACCAGGGACAGGATCAATTTAGTTGTTAAAGATAAAACACTCTTTATTCTAAATTACCCCTCGGTTCTCACTGGTCCAGCCATATTCTGGGAATGGGCTGGTATTATTAAAAATGTTATCAAGTGTACAAAGGCAGAGGGGACCAGCCCACTGTAAACAGCTAATTTGGCTGTTATCAGTATAGATGAATGTCAGCCCTTTCTTCTACAGTAAATTTTTTCACCAAAGATTGAGCCAGAATAGTGTCTCTATCCATTTTATTTTACGTAAATAGATGTGATTAGAGCCTTAATGTACTTTTGCTAGATGTTTTACGTAGAAAAGAACTGTTTAAGGATTATAAAACCTCCAACTTTCCGAACTGCTTGAAATGTTGCTATTGCTTCAAATTTATGAAGTGCTTCATGACCCCAATATCTCAGTCATGCAAGCATTTGTTCTATAATTAAAGACCTAGTGAAACTGGTATTTGGGAATTTTATGTGGGAAAAGGCATATTCCTGGCATACAGCCTTAATGAAGGTGCACATAACAGACAAAGCCTCCATGTGCCTTGGGAAAATGAACTAGAGACTGAAGCGGGAAACTTTCCATTTCAGACCAGTTAAAACCATAAAATATAGCTACCATAGAGCTTAATTGCACAGTGGTAGTTTCAACTTCTGTATCAAGAGATAATTTTTTGCATTTTCTTGGTATTGGCCCATAGCTACAGCCATATTGGACAGATGTTTTTAACTCTAAATGCAATGCAGAATTACCTATCATTTCTTTGCTATGCAGATCGAATATTCTGCATGAGCATTCAAAAACGCAGGTTTATAGTTTGAACTTCTTATGTTTATTGTTTTCTACCACCAAATGTTATGTCTACAGATGGAAAACTTGGAGTTTTGGATGATGGGTGGTGAGAAATTACTCAAAAAGATTCAGTTACACACAGAGAGACATATTACACATAATGTTGGGAAAGGCTAGATTACAGTTATCAAAATATGTACAGGAGCAATCTTCATCTAGAAGACGTGTTTCAGGAATTCCAAATGATCATACTCAACAGCTGGGCCTATTTTCAAGTCCTGGTCAATGGAAAACACTGCCGCTTTTCTCCCTCTTATGGTTCCCCACCCTCTCTATTGCCATATTTGCAAAAGCAAAGTAGCATGCTGCCTTATAGCTACTGCTCCTTATTACTCTCAAACGATGGCAATGAAAGCTGGCAAAACGATTAAGCAATATGGCAGCCCATTTTTACGAGTTTACCTTTAAAAACCACCAAGAGAATTTTAGAGAAGCGGGTAGAGGGCTTTGCAATGCTGTGGAGTATTTATTTTTGAAAGTCAATGACTTCTCCTTCCAATTTAAGGGTGCTAATCAGTATTATTTTGAATGATTACAAAGGTAATATTCTTAGGAAAAGAAAGTACACAAAATACACTCCTTACAAGGGTGATCAACCTTTTCAGAGTCACTTAATTTTGCCGTAACGTGAAACTTTTTACAAAAAAGGGCTGTATAAAAACTTTTTTCCATCTCAAAGGCCTGGTTTTTGTGTAGAGAATTTTGTAATTATCCTCAACTGCAAATATGCTTAAAATATCAAGTAGGTTTAAACCAACTACTTTAAGATATATGTACGGTCTAATTTTTGCATATCAAAATGTTTTTATAAACTGTTGTGGCTTAGTCAGGGCTAATCAAATGTTCTGGATAATGGCTAATATATATGTAATTCTGTATACATCCACATGCAAATTTAAGAATTATTAACCTGCAAATACTTCAGATATCAAATTTTGGTGATTCAGAAGGCACTCTTTTTGTCCTGCAGACTTTATTATCAAAATCAATTTTCTGGTAATGAGTCAGTTATGAGGTATAGCAGAGGAGTATCCAACAGGAGAATTTTCTCTTATGGTCTCAGCTTATGGAATTGAGGGTACTGGAGCTAGGATTAGAAGAGGTAAATAATGATCTTTTGGACGTTATCTTCACATGAAGAAAATGCAATATGAAGAAACAAAATTCTATTATTGACAACTACAATATTCCATAATAAAGGGTCACAGAGATTAGGTCCAAAATGTGCAGTAGACAAAATGTTTGGAGTCCAAAATGAGAAACTTTGGCCTTGAGACTAAAGTCATAACTGACTCAAAAGTATTCCTGTTAGGAATACTTTACTAAGTATTCCTTTAGTGCACTGTTGATGCACTGCACTAGAACTCGCTGTTAACAATTTCCAAATCAACATTAAGAGGAATTATTTTCTCGTGAAAATCCACCTCTTAATTTCATAAGAGAAAGCGGTAAAAATATGATATACCAGAATTTGCTTTTCTAGTTAACTCTGCCAGGTATTATCAAATTAAGTAATATTTTAATTTCAAGTGTCTAAACCTTGTCACATAATACCTACCTAACTCCCCACCATTTTAGATAATATGACATGAATAAGGTCAAAAATGCTTTTGGAAAAAAAAAGTTTATTTCTATTTATTCATTTATGCAAAGACAGTATTAGCAATAGGTAATAGGAACATACTTTAAAGTTCAAAATTAATTTTCCATTTTGAAAGGTTCAGGACTTTGTTCTCCTTTACTCTTTTAAATACTTCAGTCCAACAAAACAGCACACAAATAGTTTATTCCCTTACTTTTTTTAGTCATACTGGGATAATTAGAAGTGGCTCTTTAGAATTTAGGTATCATTTATAATAACCTGGAGATTTAATCACAGAATGATACATGTAAGAATGTTATAACACACACAAGATAGTACAGAGAATTTTTAAAAGAACAAATTTTAAGGTACTTTCAAATTCTGAAAGTTAAAAGACTCTTCCCTTCAGATTCAGAATGAAAATTATTACGAATTATAAGACAACAATGGACAGTGATGATATGGCCCATGGTAGCTGCATTAGGTTAGGGATAAAAGGAGTCTCCATGTTCAGGGCCAATGAAAGAAAGGCGAGGAAGCCACTTTAAACTCATGTCCATGGCAGGTCAAATGATACTGATAGAAGTGTTTCCTTTAGAAAGGTATTATCCCATTGCTACCATTCCAAGGCTTAGCCTTCAAACTGCTCGTACTGCTACTTCTCATTTTTACATCACCTGTTGTAGGAGCAAATCTCCTGGAATAGTGGTGTTACAGACTGGAAAAATATGACTGTGGGTTCAGCAAAAGGGGTCTGGTGTTTTAGTTGTCTGTCACGACATACAATGTATAATGAGACTAGCTAATCTAGAAATGGATTGTTAATTCTGACTCTAATAAATTCTTGGGATACGCTTACTAAAGAACTTTTGTAGTTTACAAACACTGAAACGACTTTGACTCTCCTGGACTATCTCTTCTTTTTCTACTTAAAAAAAAAAAGAAATATAATAGGCTAACAAAAATAAAAATCTATTTGCTTTTTAAGTAATAACTAATATTTTAATGTTTTTATAAAAACAATTCCTTTCAGGTACTCTGATTATAATCTTTAGGTGACATAAAAAAAGTTTCAGCATTCTTTATTACCAATATTTTTGCACAATTTTACATATAGCCATTAAGTTTAGCATTTCAAGGGAAAAAATTAAAAGAATAAAAGGAGAATGATAACTCACTGAGAAACTTCTGTCCGAGTAAAGTCTAGTTTGTCTTGGATTCTTTAAAAAAAAAATTAGGTCCATAATTTTAGTTATCCTAATTACCATTCCGATCAAATACAATATGTGTCTGTGGATTCTAGATAAAAGATAAAATATTTCCAACTAATAAACATAAGACCCACTGATTGGACTGTTTAGAATCAGTTTAACTGGGTTTGGATAAGGAGGACTTCAATAAAGTTAACTATATATTGAGTTCCACTGATTAAAAATGCAGTTTTAAAAACACTGCTTTTGTGGTAAATTTCTAGACAAATTATAAATGTAAAACACAATATTGTAAATATTGTAGTATTCACAGGTACTTGCTGGAGAAGTGAAATGCTTGCATTCTAAATATCAAAATTCTGACCTTTCAAAATAGTGGGTTTTCTAAAACAATTTTTTGATAATCAGCATTTGCTTTTAAACTGTTAAAATGTCTATTTCAATTTTTTAAAATCCTTACACATAAATCTTAAAGTTATTCCTTTCAGTCTCAATTATTTTTTACTTTCAACTATATTATCAACACAGAACCAGTTTCTAAACAGATACCTAATGACGAACAGTTTCTATGTAAAATAAAACTAGGCAATCTAATACAACTTGTAGTATGAATGTGATTTATCAATATTCAAAATTAAATTTCTATAGTGAAAAACTTTGTCTCTTCTTAATATTCAAAACCAGCAACTTCCCATGAGACTTGAAAGTTAGTGGAGAAGATCAAACAGATTTAAGCACTGCCCGACTTCTTCTAAAATGATGGACTCTTTTATCCTAGAAAAGACAGAAGCAGTCCCTTTTACTTCACTGAAAATCTCTTATTATCATTATAAACTAAGAGAGTTGCAAAATACTTAAAGTATTTGAGTTTAAAAATGATAAATGAGAGAAAAGTGAACAAAATGTACCAATGACTAGTTTTATTCAACATCGTTAAAAAAAAAAAATCCTGGTAAACGCAGAAACAGAGAACTTAGAATCAGTATCATTGCATATAGATTCTTAATGATTTTGTAGTAATGACCCAAAGATAGCTGGTGGAAAATATATGTATATTCTAAAAAGTCTGTTTTTTCTATATCCGGTAGAAATCAGAACTTGTGAACACCACTGCACTTCAAAATTTGAAATCCTATGCTTTTAGATTAAAAGATAAAAATTTTGGCATATTTAAAGGCATATCTGTTATTAACCTGTGATAAAGACAATATCATTCTTTAGGAAATGAAGTAAAAAATTAAAAATATACACAAAAATATCCTTTCATTTTATGTTGCCTGCAGATGTGCAAATAACAGGAAGTGAGGTCTTGCAGAGGAATGAAGTCAAGTAAACCAGTAACAACATAATACTATTTTCTACTCTACATATTTTGCTTAACTGTCTTTTCCTATGGGTTATATTCAGTTGTCAAATAAAGTAGGATTATTTCTGGAAATTATGTAATCTATCAACAGAAGAATGGTCTATTTAGGTTAAAGCCCAGAAAAGTAGTAATAAACTCATATATCTTCCAATATCAGGCAGGATATGAAAAATTACGAAGGAGCTGAAATTAAGACAACAGAATGGAATTTACCATGGAAACTGTATATATCCTGCCTCAATGTATTCAAATTCAATTCAAACAACACTTAAGCCAATCCAAACAGGCCTAGATGCCAGACAACTGCAGACTACCCGGAAGCCCAAAAGAGCAGAAAACTGGAAGGTTCAAAGGAAGGTTTTTGTCTAATACAAGATGAAAACTCAAGTTTAAAGACCATTTTCTGCTTTGCAAATGAACTATGTAAGTACTACCTACTTAATCTTTAGAACTTTAGGCAGGAAAGCTGTTATACAACTCGTTCTTTCCTTGTAAATTACACTATGTAGAATGAAACGACAAAAGAAAAAAATGTTAATTTTAAAAGAATATGTTTTCTCCCTGTTGAGATGGTAAGAACTTAATCCTGCTATGGCTCTACTCTTCTGCATTATAGGAGGTCTTTGGTATACTCTTCATAAAGGCCTTAAACTTCATCCTGTGGTCCATTCACAGATGGTAAAAACCTCATCTCTCTCATTTTAAGACACAAAGCAATGGTTAAAAACTTCTCTTTGAATATAAAATAGTGCAATCATTTTGGAAAAATTCTGGCAGTTCCATGAAAGGTTAAACACAGTTACCATATGACCGAGCAATTCCATTCCTAGGTGTATGCCCAAGAGAAACAAAAACATATGTCTACACAATAACTTGTACACAAATGCACTATTTATCAGAGTCAAAAAGTGGGGAAAAGCCAAATGTCTATCAAGTGAATGGATAAATAAAACAGCATATCCGTAAATAAAAAGAAATGGAAGTACTGATACATGCTATAACACTGACGAATCTTGAAAACATTATACTAAGTGAAAAAAGCCAGTCGCAAAATGCCACATTATATTACTCTATTTAAATGAAACATCCAGAATAGGAAAATCCTTGAAGAAAGTAAGTTACTGGTTGCCTAGGGCTAGAGGAATTGAAGGGAAATGGAAAGTGACTGATAATAGGTAAGGGGTTTATTTTTGGCATAAGTAAAATATTCTAAAATTGATTGTAGTCATGGTCTGCGAATATACTAAAAAGTACTGAATCATACACTTTAAAGTGGTGAATTATATTCAAATTATATCTTGATAAACATGTTATCCTCTCTCACTAGAGTGACCAGTTAGCTCCTTTCCATATTCACAGACTCAGAACTAGAGACTTTGGATAGCTTTAGACCTGTCTCATTTTAGACTTGTAAAAATTGAGCCTTAATACAATTCATGTGATTTGTCCAAGGTGATAGAATCAGGATCAGAAATCAGAGCTTTCTTAAATTCAACACCCACATTCTCTTCCACTTCACCAACTCTGAATCAACTTCCATTTCTTTCTACTCAGCTCCCTTTATTGCTTCACTATACCTCTTCTCCCCCGACACTGTTCATGTCAACTAAGTGATTTTTTTTTTTAGTCCAACATTCATGTACTCTTAAGTTCTGCTTTCTGTATCTAAAATTTTCTTTTTCTATTCTGTCAAGCTAATATTCTCTAACTCTCATCTTTCACAAACTCTTTTAATTATAAGCTTCTGCTAAAGGTTTCTTTAAGAACAAACTACACTGTATCAAATATACTGCAGCATAAAATACACTACCAGGTAAAACTCACAGTGGTTTACTGGTTAACAGTTAAATGCCAAGAGTTCAATTAAATGCTATATGTAATCTCAAAATATATATATCACAGGATAAAAAGATGTTTCATAGCTGACAAATGTGCTCTTTATACTGTGTACCATTCATTTCATACCTTGAAGTAGTCATCTTGAGTAACAACAGAGTTTCTCAGTCTGTTCTCTGGATTAAACAGACAAGATACAACTGTCTGTATGCTTCGGTCCACAGATTTCTGAAATACAGAAGTTTTCAGTCTAAAGTCTACTCCTTTTACTCAGTGTTAGCAAACTTTTAAAATAAAGTTTAATGAATACGTTATTAATTTCTAAATAATTCTTATGGAATTCAAGATTCTTACCATATGTCACTTAGTAAGTTTTCTACCAAAGTCAATAAATATTTTAGAAACTTGGTGACAGAGTACTGGTTTAAAAAGCTCAATTTAGTAAAACCCTAAGATATTGCTTAAGGCTCTTTAATTCTTCCTGTTAGATAAGAAACGGTGAACTTCAACATTCAAGGAAAAATATCCAGGGTAAACCTGGTAATTATACTGTAAGCCATTTTAATATTTTTTTAATTTTAAGTCATATACTAAATCACAGAACTTTTTCACCCTATATTTCAGTAGTTCTCCACTTTTATTTCCCACTGAGAAACCCACGGACGAAGTTCACAGACTATAATGAAAATCCCTTAAAGTTAACCACATTCCCACCCATTAGATAAAACATGTAATTCAAGAATGAGGGCAGTCATTATAGGAATCTGCTCTAATGATAAAAAAAGAAACAACCCTTGTCTACTTCAACATTTCAATTATTACTAGTGACTCTACCATTCTTAAAAGCTATAATATATAATGTGATGGAGAGAATACCGTAAGTAATTATATGTTATTATTTAGCTAAATGTTTAAACTAGTAAAAGACAACGTAGATAAAGTTCATACTAATCCCTCTTCTGAAGAATAGGAGTCTTGAGGAAACCTGCCCGTTGCATTCTGCCAAATCATGTTAATATTTATCAACGTATGGTTAAAAAATAAAAATGGAACAAAGTACTACTGAATCAGAAATTATATGTGTACACTGAAAGTTTAGGGATGCCTGAAATTTTATCAACTTTAACATAAACTGATGAATTATCAGTCAATTACTCAAGCTCTTTTATTTATGGCTTCCATATTTAAATTTGGGCAAAAGTACTTGCTTCTCAAGGGGATATTAAAACTTAAAAAAAGTAAATATGAAAATATAAATAAACGAAATCAAATGTTTGCCTTTTGTGGGCCATTTCCAGAGGATGGAGTAGCTTCATGAACTGAGCATTCACTTTGCAAAACTTCAGCTCCTGAATCAACTTCATTACAGTGGTAGTTAACAGTTGTATAAGCCTATGTTTAAAACAATAAAAGTGTAATTACAGAGATGTACACCAGATACATTTCTAAACAATCTATTCTTCAAAATGGTGAGCTAATATTGAAAGTTTAAATGTGGGTCGTGTTGAAGACGTTCAATTACATTAGCACAGCAACTTTATTTTAAACTGAATAGCTGAACAGTAAGGCAGTCTTTTATTCTGAAATGTTTCTTAAGCTTCAACATAATCAGAATTAGAAGGGTTCTAAGAAAAAGAAACTTCAAAATGTAGTAAAGGAGAATTTCCCAGTGCCTGAGAATTTTAACTCATGTTATAGTCTTCAGATATCCAATCCTGATGAAAGACAGAAGGTAACAAAGGCTCAGGTGTTTTAGAGGTAGCACTCTTTTGTTTTAAAACTTCTTCTTACAGAACAGTATTGCAGCAAAACATTACTTTGCTTCTCTTGAATGGATTTTTTAGGTAGAAAACTAGGAGCAGATTCAATGCTAATTCTAAATCTATAAAATTAGCATTAACATAGGTTTTAATACTACCTTTCTGGGATTATATATCCTATCAACAAAGTAACTAAGCACCTGTTGTATGCAGAGCAGCCATTGTTTAACCACACAAAAACCACCTGAGAAACAAAAATGCAGTTTCTCCTGTGGGAATATATACTTGAGTTGACAAGAAATTAATAAAACAAAACACATAACATAAAATATTCCTAGGCATACATGATATGGCAAACGGTCAAGAAATATATAATATATAATAGTTAAAAACAGTGCAGCTCAGGAATAATCAATAATATTGTAATAACTATGCATAGTGCCAGGTGGGTACTAGACTAATGGGGAGATCACTTCGTACATTATATAAATGTCTTAACTACTATGCTGTACACCTGAAAATAAACTGCATGACAATCATAGAGTGTCAACTGTAATTTAAAATAAATTTTTAAAAAAAACTTTAAAATAAAGAACCAGAACTATACATTTGGCTAATTCACCTTACCGGAGGTATAACATAACTCCTTTGTTCTCCAGCAGGCCACTGTGGTGGCATCTTAAAGAAAATAAATAATTATTTTAATATTCCTACACATTTTCACTAATATATAAGATAGACAATGTTCAGGTATTTGTCATGATAGCTCCTTGAACTTATTATAATGAAACAAAATGGAAGAAATACTTTATGCTTCTAATATCTGAGAATTTTGTTATTATTTTCCTATATAAACCCCACCTTTCTCTCAATTTTCTGGAGTTAGCTTTCAGGAAAACTCAAAGATAGTAGTTCTTTGAATTTATTACCAAAGATATGGTCATGTGGTCACAGATAGATATGGTCATATCTACGGGCAGAAATTCAGAGAAGTACTATCTATATAGTAGCCAATTAAAATAAACACTACCAAATATAATTAAAATTTAATATTCTAAGAATTGAGTAATCACTTTATTTCAACCTACTCCCCTAGAAAATTTTTTAAAAGTTGGCCTGGGTGTTTCAGCTATTTAACAGCAAAGATGGAAGGATACATGCTGAAATATAGAAGGGGATACCAAATATTGAAGACAGTATAAGAGAAAACTTGCTAAGTACATTACTATCAAAATATCATTCTTTTACTTCTAAGAATACAGAGGCCTTAAATCAAAGTTTTTTCCTTAAATTTTAGACATACTCAACTAGCTTAAATGATACACTGTTGGGGAAATTTTTATAAATAAAGGCCTCAATAAAACTCCAAAGTAAATCATTTTGTTCCCTCTTAAATTACCTGATAATTATACACAGGCAGCTGATATCCAGTGATGACCTGAACTGGTGAACTTGGATAAGGAGGATATGTCTGAAAATAAAGTTTACAGAAAGAATGGGTTAACAAGGTAAATTTTTAAAAATTAGAAATATTACTATTCCCAACATAAAATACGAAAATAAATCTTAATTATTTTTCTATTTACAACTCAGGCTTTTGAGAGACTGGCTTCATATTCTGTCGAATGTTAGCCTTTTGGGTGATGAGGAGGAAGAGATAAATGAGGGAAGTAATTGATTTTGCCACCCTAAGTTTATCTTATTCGTGTATTTATCCCCACCCAGAATTTTCTTACGCTCTGTTAGGATAGATTTCCATGTGGAAGTTAAACGTCTTCTTTTTCTTCATAAAAATGCTTTAAAATAGTTTTAAAATTTCTTCGACAATATTATAGGGTAATGTATAGTCAATGTGTAGTCCTCCTACAGACTTTATGGCTCTTTCTGCATTTTACTTTTACAAGTTATGGGCAGTATATAACCCAAGACTGGAAAAAATACAGTAAAATGTATTACATCTTTTAATAAATATTTATTGATTAAAAACATCTAGGTAGTAGCATATATGAATATACTCAGAAAAGGTAATAACTCACAATAAGTGTTAGGAACAAGTAGGGTTTTTCTTCTAGCCATGTTTAGGGCAAGAAAAATAGGTAAAGATATACCGTACACTTCAGGTAAATGGAAAATGTAAACAAAGGAAAGATACTGCAGCACTTTATTATATTTTTCCTTGCAAATAAAATGTTTTAAATTGAAGAAAGTAAAATGAATTAAGAAAATAAACTTTATTTATCACCAATAAGATAGTAAATGTTCCAAATACTACTTCAAATACTAAAGTAACCAGAACCAGAAAAATTATATGCCAGACTCATACAGTTTATAAATAGAGTTAAGTCAGCAGAAATCTATCCTAGAATCAGAATACATCCAGAGGTCAGCAATCTATATAGGGAGACACCTGGAAATTACTGTAAATGAAAAATAACTAGATAAATCGCTAACTTAAGAGAAGAAAAAAACCAGGCAGACACACGAGTAAAGCCACCTTCATATATTTTAGGAGTTACCATATGGGGGAAAAAGGGAAAAGATATGTTCTATGTGGCTACAGAGGTCAGTTCTAAGATAAAGACTTACAAGATACATAGAAACAGATTTTAGTTTAGAATAAGGAATAACAACACTAAGAATGACAGATTAAAAAAAAATAGATTTCCCATTACTAAAAGTGTTAAAAGAGGAACAGTATTATCACTTATGGAAATTGTGGATATAATTCCACAGAAGGTGAGTGAGACTGGCTTACTTTCAAGGTGCCCCATCTATAAGATCTCTAATACTAACAACAACAACAACAACAACCAGGAATGCTGGTAATTCTTACCTGAACATACTGAGTTATAGGATTCATCATGGTTGGAGGCTGCATATAAGTTTCAGTGTTTGGATTACTCCAGACACTCTGAAACTGTGGTGGTGGAGGAGGATTAAAAACCAAAGGACGTGGCTGCACGTGATATGCACCTTTTTAAAGAATAAAAAGAATAAAAACCTATTTTTAGTTATCTGAAAAGGTATACCTGTATCAACAAGAAAATTTCCTTTATTTACTCACATAAATTTTGTTTCCTGATTGCAGGGCCCAGTTTCAGCTTTTTACCATGGAAATTTATCTGTGACTGAAATAAAACAGTAACAAAACTCATATCAATTCCCAAGTCTTTACTTCCAAGACCCTGGTAAACACGCCAAATCTTCTAAAATTCCTACTATCAGAGATCAGTGGTAAAAACTTACTAAATCAAAATTTATCAGCACCTTATTTACCCTTCAATACTCCCATCAAGTGTCCAGAGGTGTCATGGAATTTGATCAAAAATCTTTACCCTTTCTCTAGTTCATGAAGTTAGATGCTCAAAAATAAACAGGTTCCGACAAATTATATAAGATTAAGTTTGGATTTTTAAAAGAAGTATATATATTTCTATATTTCATACAAGACTGAGTATATATTCAGGACTCCAGCAATACTAAACATTGCATCCAAAGCTAATTAAGAGATTTTGCCATAAGATTACTTACTTCTACTATCTTCTGCACATCCACATCATTATAAAAGGAAACAAATCCATAGCTAGAAAGGCAGATAAATGAAGTATAAAATCACCACCATAACAGTACATGTTTTAAAACTTTTAATATTCTATGAAATAATTGACAAAAATAATGGTAAAGAATAAAGAACATACTGAGATAAATATTTTTAAGATGTACATGATAGAGCCTCTGTAAACACTGCTTTTTTCCCTTACAATTAAGGTAATGTGGGAACCTTATTAACAGAAAATTCCTATCTATGAAACTGAATTTATTATCTATGGCAAGATGGTTAAAATTTAAGATATTGTGAAATGTGCAAAGAAAAAATTATCTGATAAAACTGATTAATCCACTTATGTGAAATAAACGAAGCTGAGAAATATTTAAATACAAGTACTAGGAAAATGATTAAAAGAGCTGGCGGCAAACTTTTATCCTCTACATGAAAAGAATTAACAAAGCAACAAATTTCATTTACACAAATATAAGAATACCAGTTTTGAATTCTTCTCTGATACTCTACAAACACTATAGTTCAGATATTTTTTAAAATTTATACTGAACATGTTTTACTTACCCTTTGGACACACCAGTTCGATCCGTGATTATCTTCACTTCTTTTACTGAACCATATCTAGCAAAGAAACTTCTAATTTCGGTTTCATCCATCTAGGAAGAAGAATTTAACTTCAAGAATAAAAATTCAGCATTCAAAATTTTCAATTATACTATAAAAGATTTGATGATGTGAAAGTATATTCCCCAAGTATCCCCAAACTACCTGTAGCTCTTGTCAATCAAAGATATTTTTTATTCCTCATAGGTTAAACGTTAACTAATTCCAAACCTACATCAAGTACAAAAGACCTATCTATGTCTGCAATAAGGGCCAAAATTCCATTATTCACCAAATATTTTTTTAAATAAATAAAATAGGAATACAATACCCTAACGTCAATTCCACCAACAAAAACAGTGTTTGGCATGATTTTGCCTTCAGGTAAAACATAGCCTTGGCTGGTCGTAGCTGATGAGGACTGGGTGCTGGCCTCTCTGGAGATGGTTGAATTTGGAGTCTCAGAATTTGCAGCAGACTGTAATTTGAAAAGCAGATATTACCAATCAATCAATCAATAAATAAAGGCAAAAACCACACGTGATGTGAAACAATTTTTGCTTTCAAAGTATAAAAATTTTTCATATGAATTACTTTCATTGTAAATAAATCAACAATACAGCTTAGTTCAGGCTCAAGATGTAATCAGAGTAGATTATTAGCATGAAATTTTAACAAGAGTATAGTACTTTCTTAAACTGTGTAGCTCATTACCATCTCTTGTACAGTACTGTGGCAGAATACTGATTTTATATTGAGTTTGTGAAAATACTATGTGACCGATAAAAAAATTAGGAAGTTCAGGTTTGTAAAAAATAAAGTTATTAAAGCCACCCTGTTCTATGCCAATAACCACATTTTCATTTTATGAATATGAATAATTGATTAAAAAGCATGGTAAATCTTTTTAAAAGATAAAAAAATAGCTGCGTCAAAAAGAAAACATCAGTTTTTAGCCATTTTTTTTTTGTCTCACCTTTCTATTCTCCAAAATTAACACGAATTTTATAATTATAATACTCCCTGTGTTAGTATGCCTGCTTTACTTTACTTTGGAAGTAGATCATGAAAACATTTGCTCACACATCAGAGCTCTTGCTTTAAAAAAAAAAAGGGGGGGGAGCTTATTATCCTTTTCCCTAATGCTAGAGTATTCAAAGCATCTTTTGAAATAACATTTTTCTTCTTGAATTACACCAAATCAGTCCTACTGATAATTCTAATTTTCATTGTGGGATAATATATATAAATGATACCGTCTTTTTTTTTTTTTTTTTTTTTTTTAAGAAAGAGACCCACACATGAATCTCATTATTTTTCTGGATTCTGGTCAGAACTCTGTCTTTAGTCTTCCCACACAAAGGGTAATATAAATTTTTCTAAAGCAGAATTTACTGGTAAGATGTATGTTGAAAAGGCAAGATAGCACAGTGAAACAAAAATTGATTTAGTCAGGACATGTAGGTTCATGTCCCTCACTAGGTTATAAGCCACTTACTTGGCAGCTGATTATCTTTGGAAAAAATTGCTTTGAGAATAAACTGAGATAACATCCGTGAATTCATTTTATAAAGTGGTATGCCAATATAAGTTAGTGTCCTATTATTTGAATTTATTTTCAATAGGCTAAAAAATAAGTTTCTTTCCTGGTTTTACTATTTACTTACTTATTTTATAAATATTTTATTAACAACTAATTTGAGCTGAAACTTCAAGAAACTATGGCACACTTATTTGAAACTCATTTATAAAGTGCCTATTGATTATAAGCAGTAAGTACAAAAGACTGCAAGAAATAAAGCTATTGCACATCTGCTTATAAAGGAAAATAAGGATGAAAATGTCCATTTTTCAAAAAACAGTATAGTAATTTTTATAGAAATTAATAACAATGAAAAAGTAGAGTTCCTATTTTGTTAGATGCTAAAAGTTACTGATAAATTTAAGATTCTACAAACTGCTATACTAATTATAGATGAAACAAAAATCGTCAAATCACCAACTTTGAGCATTTAGCTTTTCTCTATTAATTTGTGCTTATAATTGACATTTTGTGTTTCTATTTGAATACTTTCTAATTATTTCCTTTATAATACAATATTTCATGACAATAAAGTAGGAAAGAGTAAAGATTTCTAAAGTTTTTCCACTATAAAACGTAACATTTTACAATTTTATCTTTTTTCTCAATAGGACTATATTACAGAAGCCACATATCTTGAACTATTGAGAACTTGACTAGATTTCCCTTCGCTAGAGACAATTTACCAATTCCTTTCAATTAGCTCATTGAAAATTACAAAACACAAATAAAACAGTGGTTCTGAAATTCCTGTAGATTTCTTTTCTTTGCAATTTCCCCTTCATTTGTGGATGGACTTTAAATACCCTTTTACTTAATAAACTACTGACAGTATTATCCATCTGTGAACCACAATAGATGTATTTTAATTTAGAGGTATAACATCAGGCTAGAAAACTGTGCCAGATTATAAGGGGTTATGATAATGTAGATTCTCAACAAGGAGAAATTTTGCTGGCCAAGGGCATTTTTGGTTGTTACAACTGAGGCGGTGTTCCCGTTATCTGGTCGATAAAAGCCCAGGATACAATAAACATCTATAATGCAATATCAGCCACCTACGACAAAGAATTATCTAGCCCAAAATCTGAATAGGGGCATGGTTGAGAAACCCTATGATCATGTTACCAGAACTGAAGAGGCAAGTTCTAATTCTCATATTCTATTTACAGAAGTAAAATGAATACTGGAGACAAATAATCAATAATTTAAGAAAAAGAGGAAAAAGCCATTAGATATTATAATAAGTTTCACTTGGAGTTGGGTTGTATAAATTTGGCTGCTTAATTGGGACATTAAATATAAAATTCATCAAATCATTTTACTACTGTCATAAGGCACTATAATGTCATAGTCTTCAACCAGCAGGTGGCGCTCAAAGCTAACAAAGTAAGCAAAGTACTCCATCTTAACAAGACTGAACTGCAAGGATTTTTAAACTCCTACTGTGTGTGTATTTATATATAATTATAATCTACATATACAACATCCATAACCAATAGACAAGCTTTAGTTATGTTTAAACTCTTGCCAAAAATACTCCACAAATGAATGCTTGGGCTAAAGCAAAAGTTTTGTGTTAAAGTATTAATCTTAACCATTGGTAGCATATAAAAAATGTTACATGTAAATTAAAAATAGTAATTATTTTTCTTAATAATACTTTTGAGTAGTTGGTGTGTTTTGAAATGAGTAATGCTGAGATATTAAATAGGGATGAACTTGGACCATCACATACGCAATTCTTATCATTGCTATTTACAATATATTTCCTGTTACAGTTGGATAACAAAGATTACTAGAAGCTGACAAAGATTACTAGAAATGACAAAGATTACTAGAAGCTGAAAAAAACTTATTTACTAAGCTCCTGGGATGTCAATATTATTTCATTCAACTACTATGTCTACATGCAAGCAAACTTAGGTCTGTGTATATTAACCAAAAAAGGTCTACGATTTGTACTTATCACTTATATCCACAGGAAAAAAAAAAGGAGCTAATAAAGAGAAAAGCAAAACCTAAGGAAATAAGAAATAAAAATCAGAATAAAACCCGTTAAGTAAATCCAGTAGTAAACTCTTGAGGGCAGGGAGAATCAAAACAAAGCTAAGCAAGAAAAAGGGCAAGAAAGCAAAAAGATGTATTAGTCATGAAAAAGGGGATATGACCACAAATTATAAGAGAATGCTATGTATATGCCCTAAGGGAGTAAATTTAGAAGTCTTGATGAAACGGCTAACTTTCCAGAGAAATATAAATTTTTAAAAACAGTCTTAAGGAAAAAAAGCACTTGATTTCTGGCTGTTTCATTGGGAGTTTTTTCAAATTGTAAAGAAACAGGTCATTTGTGTGTATGTAGATGGCGGGTAGGGGCAGCAAGACAGAAACAATGATAGTGGAAGAGGAAATGGAAGAAAAAAATTTAAAAGCTCTTCTTTAAAAATAATTTCAGAGAAAAGAAAAAGGATATTTCTCAATTCATTTTACAAAGCTAACATCATATGAATAACAAAACTTGATTAAGGTGGTCCACTCATGCCCCCAACAGAGAGATGAAAAATCCGGCAGTATACAGAAAAATACACAATTACGTAGTTTATATTGGAAATGAAAGGACAGTTCACTCTAAAGAAATCTATTATTGTAACTCCCCATTGATATAACATTTGATAAAAATATCATCTTTTAATTTGAAAAAAACCCAAGTAAAATAAATATAGAAGAATTATATTTCCTATCAATCTAATTGTAAGCCATCAGGCTTAAAGTGAAATATAACTGTCATTTTCATTGAAATTAGAAAGAAGGGAACCTCCATATTCTCTATAAATTTTTCTACTATATATGACAAAGGGTTAATATTGAGTTCTTATAAATCATTAAGAAAAAGATAAATATCCAAATAGAGAGGTAGATTAAGAATTTATAAAAATATTTTAAGCTAATGACAAACTTCAACTTCACTAATCACAAAGCACATCAACACTGAAATATTTTCCAGCTACTAGACTGGTAACTTAAAAA